GCAGGTGCTGCAAAGTCCATAAGATACGAATGCAGCATAATGCAGCCACCTTTGATAATGCTTGTGTTATCTTTCGGCGCATGGACTTGAGGTTCTGCAAGAAGGGCAAATTGTCCGGCTTGCATCGGGCAGGCGAGCACGCTTGCTGGCCGATCCAGTAGATGTTTCTGTGGTCTTCTCCGGGGGACAGCACTGGCCGATAAACGTGAGCATGGAGCAGCCAATCTACATCCGAGTGGCTGCAACTTTGACCGAGAACAACAGCATGTGCGCCTTCCTCACTGAGTCCGGTTGGTCTATGGAAGGAGTAAGACCGGTACTGCCAGAAGAACTTGCTGCAGCAATGGGAGGCGAGTACCTGCCGGGGTTCTGGTGTGCAACGACCCACCTGACGATCTTTGCAGCGATACTGGAGCTTGCCGTGGCTTGCACGAACATCGAGGTGCTATCCTCGCAGCTGCTGCCCAGACTTCTGGAGAGCAGTTGGCCCACTCGTGCCCCTGCCGTGCTCGTTCTTTCCACTGTGGCCTGCTGCGTGGTGATCTTGCTGGCAGCGAATGTTGCCGACAGGAGAGCACGTTTGCGGGATGTGTGGCGGCAGCAGAATCTGCTTACAGCCATCCCACCATCTCGGGTGTCCTGCTGCCCCAGCCTCTGCAGATGCCAGGGCAAGTCAGGCCAGGCTGGGAAAGCACAGAAATCGGAGAACCAAGAGGCCGCAGATTCCACGGGACCGCAGCAGCGGATTGGAAGGATGCTCGGTTCTCTTCAGCCTCGGAGTTGGGCACGGCGAATGGGCATCCGGGTCATGGTAAGGGGAACATTGCAGTCGCTTGCTCTGCTGCTCTGGGTGGACGAGCATCTCGGCTGGTGCGTCTCTGGAAAGTAAAAGGGGCCTGAAGAAGTACAATGCTATTCACAAAGGGCCATAGGGCTTGTCTTTAACTTTCACAACTCAAAATTTTTCGAGAAAAACACCGAAGACCTGCTTAAATAGGGCACCTACTTTTGCAGCCAAGCTCGGAATGTTGCACCTACAGGGCACTTCTTTTCGCTTGCCTGAGGCAATCGTTGCAGACCCATGTGTGGAATGGACAGGGCTGGGTGCAGGGGAGTCTCTTGGCTTATGGATAATTAAGGCGGCTTAAAATGGGACTTTCCGAAAATAGGGGGGGTACCTTATTTGGGGGTCCTTATGACAAGGATCCTATTATTAAGGGTACTATATTAGGGTCCCCTATTTTCGGAAACCCCCAAATAGAAGCCGGAAGGATGACCGACATTACTCCTTCGGCTCCTTGATGTCTGTACACTGCAATATACCCGTAGTCTCCATTGTAGTTCCTTCTTTTGGTTTAACCAAATATATAGTAAGGATTTTATAAGGTATCCCCAAGAAGAAACTACAATGGAGACTATGGGTACCCCCCCCCCCCCAGCCCTAGTCTAATGTTTAGGGCCCTGTATCAGGGTCTTAGTGTCTGGGCCGAGGCTTTGAGCCTAATATAGGGCCTAGATAATTAGCTAAACTATTTTGCGGTTTCCGTATTATATTTGTATAATGTACCCCCAAGCACTATTATACTTATTTAAGGCACCTGTATTAGAGGTGGCCTTTCGGCGGCCTATGTTCGGTTTTAGGAGGGCATATCAGGGTCTTTCCGGCACACACACCCAAAGCCCGTGCTGAACAGGGACATATTAGGATCATCAATCCGTGATAGACTTTGCAGGCCTCTCTTGCTGAGAGATTTAAGCTTGAGTTTGGCAGCTTAGCTTCCTAGATGCAATAGTCTGGAAGTGCTGCTTCCCAGCTGATTGGTCGAGTCTGGGTTCGGCATATTAGGGGTTAGGGGTATATGATAGTATGATACAGTAACCCTAAACCCTAAACCCTAACAGTATGTCTTATAGCAGCTCAAAGCCTCATCGAAAGTGGGATCCCAGTCTCTGCCAAGGCCTAGTCTTGGCAAAGTCAAGGCTGCTGGCGAAATGGACTGCGAATCTCGATGAGGAGGGATTCGACTTAAGGAAATTTAGGGGTGAGTGAAGAAAGGCTTAAAAGTGGCTTCAGGGGGTTTAGGGCAGTTTGAGGTTCATATGGCGGCTTCGGATCTACGGTCGTGGGTTTGGCTGCTTCCGTCACGATGAAGTCTCTTGGTGATCCTACGGTCTCCAGAGCTTCGTTATCTTCGTAGCGGCGACTAAAACTCCTATACCCTAACCCCCATATACCCTAAACCCTTAATCCCTTAACTCCTATACCCTAACCCTTGTATACCCTAAATCCCTAGACCCTAAACCCTTAAACCCTCTATCCTGAACCCTGGGTGTTCCAGACAGGAGCTTCCAGGGCTCTACGCTGCCTGGGGACGTCGGCGCTGGCGACGTGCCGTCATCTCCTTCCTTGCCTGCCATCCCTTTCTGGGCATCTTCCCGGTGCGGGGGGTCTGGGAATCTGGGGTTTTGGGTTTTGGGTTTTGGGTTTTGGTTTAGGGTTTAGGGTTTAGGGTTTGTACTGTTGAGGGCTTGTGGGTTTCTGTCGTATGTAGACATCCTCAAGTAGATGGAGGCAGGGAAAATTCGGCATTTCAGAGAACAGTTGCACAACACCACTTCACTTCACTCGGCTTCCAAGGGGTAAGCTCCGGTGTAAGTACGGGGTTGAATGACAGTTTGGAAGTGCATGTTCGAGGTCTTGAAGGCCAGACCATAAGCTGTTTTTAACGTTAGAACTCGATGCAGGGGTCCGGGGCTTTGAGCAGGATTCTTGACGACAGCCCTACCCTAAACCCTAAACCCTAAACCCTAAACCCTAAACCCTAAACCCTAAACCCTAAACTATCCATGATCCCGACACCTCGGACTCCCCTAGTCGGAGGTGTCGGTGCACCTGACTTCAGCGAAGCGTGCGATGATCTTCTCACACTTCCTCTTGGGTTCTTTGGCGATGTCACTTGGACCTTTCCAGCAGGGACTCTTCGATTGGTTCGTCGTGATGGGGGGTTCGTTCCCTAATATTCGTCGGCTGAGAGCACCGAACCTTTCTTAAAAGCAGCTCGTCAGTGCATGTGCAAGGTGTCACAAAGCCATCAACAAACACCAGTGCAAAAAGAAGTGAGAAGAGCCAGTAATAATATACCCTTTTGTTTCAGGCTTTCGATATGGATATAGAACCTCCATACAGAACCCTGAAAAAAGGGGAGGTTCGGATTCCCTACGACACAGCCACTGCCTGTCAGGTCTTCACTGTTTATCTCCGTCACCACTGGGGTCCTGGATGTGACCAGCGACTTCGACTGCCCTGTCGAGGATGACACGCTGCGGCTATTGCTCATTGCAGCTGTGTCCATGGCTCTGAACTCACTTCCTCGCCTTTTCTTCCGGCAGCTCGGGTTCCGGTATTTTGCTGAGGGCGCCGGTGACAAAGAAAAGGTCAGGAAGAAGTGGAGAGAGTGGCTGGTTGCAGACACTCTCTTTTGGCTCCTTTCCTTTCTCTGGCAAGCTGCCTACATCCTTTTCCTTTGTGCGTTCTTGGCGAGTCTGGCTCCAGCAGATGAGCCGAAATGTCTCCTTTGTTTCGGCGCCATTCTGCTTGCGAAGTTCTTGGCATCTCCACTTTCCAGGATGCTGGGCCGCGCTTGGAAGGGCATCCGACAGCCCCCTCGGGACCTGAACCCTACAGTGAGCCCTAGGACTAGGAGGTAGGCCTGAATATTTGTTTAATTCTTCCTGGATATCCTTAACATATTTGTATTGTAAGATACGCCGAAACCGATGCTAATCATCAAGGAGCTGATATATTGCACTCTAAAGTCCCAAACCTGAAAGCCTATAGCCTATAGAAGACCTTCGGCTTGTCTGAACCGCAAGTCCTACGCCCCAAACCATCCCAAGCCTTATAAACCTTAACGTCCTTGCTAACCTCTAAGCCCTTGCTGCGTTTTTTTTGGGGACCTGGAGGCGACGTCAAGCAGTTACCCATCAGCCCCATAGTAGTTCCTCTTTGGGGCCCATACTTAGAATCCTATGAGGTAATCCCAAAAAGGAACTACTATGGGGCCTATGGGTAGTAGCACTTAGCAGTCCAAGCCTTTCCTGCCCAAGAGCCGGGGAAGTTCTGATACTATAGGGGCCTTGATAATTAGAATAGGGTTTTGATGTACATTCTACTCTAATTATAATAAGGAACCCCACCACAATTTATACCCCATTAGCGAGAGCGCGACTTCCGGCAGGAGGATGACAAGGATATGACCGTGGCGAAAACAGCGATTTTCGGAGGCGGAAACACGAGTCGCACCTAAATCTGCACGCCCGGCGGCAGAAACGCGGCACTGTGGCGGAGCAGGATTTCGAACTACGCCAAAAGTTCGACACCCTCTGGGCCCCAGGGATCTAGAGACCACGACGAGGCCATGGTCTCCATTCAACAAACAGAATCATGCCAAAAATACGTGCGGTGCCGGAAAGGGAGGGGCTATCCATGAAGTCCGGGCGAGTGCCAGCATAATAGATTTACAGTTAATCGGGCTTCGCCAGAGGACGCGGCCGGCGTAGGACTTTGGCAAGAATGCGTTCTTCGTGCGAAAGCGCGATCCGAACCAAAGAGATCCACTTTATTTCGAACTTGACCCCCATGGCGTTACCACATTCTGTGCGAATGAAATCCTAAGCCACAGGTGCTTTTTGTCCTACATTTTTGGGTTTGCTATTCCCTTCAAGGCCTTCGTTCTCTACAAGGTTTCCGTGACTCTCTCTCTCTCTCTCT